TGCGGGTCCATCGGGGACCCTCCGTGCTTCTTGTGTGTTGGGCTCCCGTTGTGTCCGCTGGGGGGTCGCCACCCTGGATTATCTGTGCTCGGTAAACGTTTAACAGGTGAGAGAAGCAAGGGACAGCTGCCTTACAGACCTCCCTGCTCAGGGCCCAGCCCGGCCCAGGGCGGGCACAGACCCAGCCTCGGAAATTATCCACTGGCTGGCTACCGATGGGGGCAACGCAACCGGCATGGAGGTGTCGGGACTCTGTTCCGGGAGCTGGAGGGGACCGGGAGGCAGGAGCCCGGGGCCGGGGCGGGACTGAGAGGAGGGGAGGAAGGACAGGGTGACCAGTGTGGAAAACGGTGCCGCTGTTGACAGGCGGAGAAGGGACAGCCTCCCGAGCATGTTCCGTGCAAGCTGTCGGGCACCGTGACTGCGTGTCACATGCCTGGTCTCGACCTGATTCTCGGAACGACCCTTGCCAGCAGGTGCGGCCGTCCTGGTTTGTGGGTCAGGAAACGGGCTTGGAACTGCAAACCCGGACACTGTGTCTGACCTCAAGGATGGCTTTCATACCCCTGTGTCTCCCACACATGTGAGGAGGAGGCGGGTCGGGGTCCGAGATGAGATCTGTCTGTGCCGGTTTGAGGTGCTCGTGGTGCAGTGGTCGGACTCGTGGGGGCATCGTGCTTCCCATTGGCTGAGGAGCACCCCTCTTGCTGTCTCCATCCGTGTCGGAAGCGGGGACCTGCCCACAGGCAGAGGTCGGAGGTGCCAGCGCGGGTGAGCCCGTCCTGGGGGCTGCGGGGCCCCCTCCCCGAGCGTGGAGCTGCGGGCGCTCGAGAGAACAGGGCCCGGTCTCCTCGCACGTCTCGGTTCAGACAGACCTGGTGCTGGTCCCCCCACGGTGACAGCTTGTCCGTCTCCTGTGGGCCCGCTGTTTGTTTGAGACCCGGTCAAGGTTGCCTTGTTGGTGTGGTTTTGGTTTCGGCCACACAGAGCCACGACATCCCGGGCCGGTCAGCGCGGCCCCGAGAGGAGGGGCAGCCCTGCCCCGCGGACGACCCGAGCGGTCGGGATGGGCCGTCGGCCCCGCGCTGCGCTCGCCGCTTCCCTTTCTTCCGGCTCCGGGACACGGTGGCGCACGCTGTGACCAGGGAGGTCGGTGTAGATGCTCTGCGGAGGCCTCGGGCTTGTGTCTCCCTGCTGATGGCAGTGGACCCAGGGTGAGGGGCTCTTGCGTTTGGTTTTCCAGAAATCCTAGCTTGGTTTTCAGAGTCGGGGCGAAAGGGGTTTCGGGTCGTATCCTTTTCAGGTTGTCGGCACAGAGGCCCCGGCCCGGCTCTTCTCGGGACGTCCTCCC